GGTGGGGTGAGGAGGGGAACGGAAGGGGCTGGACGGGGGCAACTTCAACAGGATGGCCTCATTGTCCTGCATTTTCAGAGAAAGGGCAGCAGAAACAATGGGAAAACCAAAAAAGTGCTGAATTGCTTTTTACCGAATAGCTTTTTGAAAGGAGTTTTACAAATGCCGAGTGCTTCCTTTTCTTATGTGGGTCTCGGGTGCAGAGCATGATGGTGCCGTGTCCCACACTGCAGTGGGCCCCACTGCGCGTCACACTTGGCCCCGCACCCGCTCAGCCCCCCAAACCGCGTCCCTCCGGTAGCAGCTAGACTGCTGTCTTCGCCTGTGTACTTTGTATAGAGTCCACGTAGGAGTGACAGTCACATGGCACGTGTCTTTCTCCGGCTTACTTCATTTATTAGCACAGTAGCCTCCAGGGCCGTCCACGTTGTCTCTCTGCTTTTCTGGCTGAGTAGCACCCCGATACGTGCACACTGTATGTACACACCACACGTTCTGCATCCACTCATCTCTCAGCGCACGCTTAGGTTCACTTTATATCTTAGCTATTGTAAATGTGCTGCTATGAACAGTGGGGTGCGTCTATCTTTTCGAATTAGTGTTTTCATTTTCTTCAGATACATAAGAGGTGGAGTTGTTGAATCATACTATAGTGATTATATTTTCGGTTTCTTGAGGAACCTCAATACTGTTTTCCATAGTGGCTACCCCAGTTTCCATTCCTGCTAGCAGAAATTTTTTTTTTCTTAAATTTTATTCTATTAATATTTTTCAGATTCTTTTTCTCATTTAGGTCACTGCAAAATCTCAAGCAGAGTTCCCTATGCTAGGCAGTAGAAATTTCCTCTTCTTGCCACCTTTTCCAACATCTGTTATTTCTTGCCTTTCTGATAATGGCCATTCTCACGGGGGAGGTGACACCTCACTGTGGTTTTGATTTGCATTTCCCTGCTGATTAGCCATGTTGGGCATCTTTTCATGTGCCTATTGGCATCTGTACATCTTCCTTGGAAAAATGTCTATTCAGTGCCTCTGCCTTTTTTTTGTTGTTTGGGTTGTTTGTGTTTTTGTTGTTGAGTTGAATGAGTCTTTATATATTTTGGATATTAACTCCTTACAGGATATACAGCTGGTAAAGAAACGCCTGCAATGCAGGGGACCTGGGTTAGATCTCTGGGCTGGGAAGATCCCCCGGAGAAGGGAAAGGCTACCCACTCCAGTATTCTGGCCTAGAGGATTCCATGGACTGTATAGTCCATGGGGTCGCAAAGAGTCGGACAGGACTGAGGGACTTTCACTTTCACGGGGTATACCGTTCACAGCTATCTTCCCCCACTCAGTGTGTTACCTTTTTGTCTTGATGGTATCTCCTTTGCTGTACATAAACTTTTTAGATTGATGTAGTCCCAATTGTTTATATTTGCTTTTTTCCCCCCTTGCTTTGGAGTCAGATCCAGGAAAGCATCTCTAAGACTGATGTGAATGTGACAAATAACTGGGTAATTTCCTGAAGCCACAGGCAAGCTTGCCTTTCTGGGACCTTTCATTTCATCTGCTTTTTTGTCTCTCTGTGAAAGTCTAGTTTTATAAAAATAACTTGGGAACTGAGAAAGTGACTTCGATTCATGCATTTCGTCATCTCAGAATCCAGGTGTGAGAATCATTTAATTCAGTTTTTTTTTAATATTAGAATTTGCACAGAAACCAAGTCAGAAATGTTCAGATTCAAAATAATTGTTCAGTTCTCTTCCCCCAGCCCTGCTGTGCCCTGCCTGTTACAGCCTCACCTGCACAAAGGGGGGGGGTGGAAGGCGTGGCCCGGTTCTTCATGCAGGGTGTTCTAGGAACAGATCACCAGGATGCCTGCTCACTTGTGAAATGAACAGAAACTGCACTAGCTTCTTGAACTGGCACTTACTGCTAACAGTAGCGTCTCACAGTTTTAAGCCCTTGCAAGTTAGTTAGCAAATGTGGTGGGGCTTCTAATGCCTGGATGAGGAGGCTTGAGCCCATGGACAACATTAGAACCAGCATCATGATGGTCTGAGCTTCCTTGGCCGGCTTCCTTGAAAAGCCTGGCTTGTCAGGTGCCATCCCTGACCTGGGGCAGGGGAGTCCCCACACAGACACAGAGACAGCATGATGTCTAGAGCCATGTGCCAGGGCAGCTTCACACAGCCAGGCTGGAAATAGCTTCAGAGCGAGCTGAAGCCCTGGCTGTCATGAGCCCAGCTGGCCCAGAGGAGGGGCAGTGCCTTCCACGGGCTCACGGATCACTCCCAGTCCTGGGGCAGATCAGCTGGATGGTGGGGGGATAGACGGTCTAGGGGTAGGATGCATCTTCCGGTGGGTAGGAATTAAGAAGAAAGTAAAGGCAGGGAGGTCAGAAAGGAGCATCTGGGGAGTCAGAAAGTCACCATTGGTGGGTGCTGTTCATGAGTCCCATTCCTGGGTCAGTTCAGTCTACCCAAACCACACAGACTTCTGTGATGAACTTCAGCATCCAGTGTATCCCAGAAGCAGCGTGGCTGCTTTTAAAGCATTGGAACTAAGCTCCATAGTGTTGCACACCAGTGCTCTTGGCCTTCCCCAATCAATAGAAATCGACCAGAGCCAGACAAGAAATTCATACAAGGCTTTTAACCGGGGCCCCTGCTTCTGCAGAGGGCCAGGGGCCAGGTGGGCAACCAGAGCAAGTAACAGGTGCCCTTGCTTGCTCACTGCTGGAGCGGAGGGAGGCTGAGCGGCTGCCTTCTGTGGGGTGTGGGCAGCGGTGTGTCCAGGAGCTGGGCCAGAGGGCTGGCTTAGGTGGCTTGCCCGTCCCTCTGGTGGTGTTGTGTGCAGGGGGCATGCGAAGTACCTGCTTTTGCTCCTGGTTCTTCAGAAGCGGCAGCTGGGCTTTTCGGTCTCTTTGTCTCTTGTGGTCCATAATCTGCCGCAGTGCACAGGCACGCCGGTGTCATCAGACCCTGCAGTTCTTCGTCACTTGAGGAGTGGTGGGTCCCGGTGCACGTCCTGCAGCAGAGCGTCCCCGTCTCAGCCCATCCCACTGGGACCTCGCAGAGTTCACTGCTGCTGGGAGCCTGGCTGCTCCGCTCAGGTTCTCGCGTGCAGCCCCGTTCTCCTTACACTTTTCAGTTCACGAGAAGGCGTCTTCATGCGCTTCACTGTAATCACCTCACTGTTAAATTATAGTGGGGAATCGATTCGTGGGAAGGAGTTGAGCGATTCCTTCGCCGATGTTGTATCTAGTGACACTTGATAACAGATCTGAATCTTTTTCTTTAACTTTTGATCAGGAGCTTCAGTTCCTCTTATTACTTTGAATTTGAAGATTTAATGCCTATAGTTAAGGAAGGCTTGGGGGGTTAATTAATTGATGATAATTGGAAGCTAATTACAGTATTGTGGTGGTTCTTGCCATACCCTGACATGAATCAGTCACCAGTGTACATGTGTTGCGCCCCCCCCCCCCATCCCAAACCCCCCTCCCACCTCCCTCCCCATTCCATCCCTCTGGGTTGTCCCAGTGCACCAGCTTTGAGTGCCCTGTTTCATGCACTGAACTTGGACTGGTCTATTTCACATATGGTAATATACAGGTTTCAATGGGAGGGTTGCTTTTTAGTTTTAAATGGTTTCAACTTAGCATAGCTCTGCCTCTCCGTGGACTGTTCCTGTTTTACTTGCGCTTAGAGCGCCACCTGCTGTTGACGCTTCTTCTGGCAGCCGCGGTCACTGTCTGGTGTGGATAAAGGAACATATCTTGGATGTAAAACTCAGCTCGAGAGGAAAGATTTTTGAGTAAACTGAGAGTACGATTTTAGCTGATTGCTAGCTGCTTGCTGACTTCTTTATCAAACAAAAATCCAAACTCTCTGCTTGGTGGAAAATACTTGAGGAATTAAAGCTGCATTATTGTAAAATACCAGAGCTTCCCTGGTAGCTCAGCTGGTAAAGAATCCACCTGCAATGCAGGAGAAACCAGTTCAGTTCCTGGGTTGGGAAAATCTGCTGGAGAAGGGATAGGCTACCCACTCCAGTATTCTTGGGCTGCCCTGGTGCCTCAGACAGTAGAATCTGCTGCGATGCAGGAGACCTGGCTTCGATTCCTGGGTTGGGAAGATCCCCTAGAGGAGGGCATGACAGCCTACTCTAGTATTCTTGCCTGGAGAATCCCATGGACAGAGGAACCTGGAGGGCTCCATGGGGTCACACAGAGTTGGACACAACCGAGAGGCACGGCACAGCACACTGTAAAGTTAATAATCTGTTACTGCTTGTTGAACCCCTGCACGTGAACGGTGGGTGTTACATGTGTGTTTCAGATGTGATGCCAAATGTCAGTATGTATTAATAGTCGGCAGTTTCAAAATTGGGATAGAATAAACTTTGCCTGTGTTTTTTAGGGAGCAAAGGCAGAAATCAAAGTGGGTCTCCCCCAACCCCAACCCACCCCCAGACCAGCCTGTGGTATTTATTGATTAGAGTTGACAGCAGTGAGGTAGGCAAATTGGATTCAGGTAAATCTGCCAAAAATAAGTTAAATCGGGTGTTTCTTTTAACTTTCCCATTGTGATAAATTTTTCCCAAAACGTTGGCCCCAGATGAGAGGGTGAGAGCTCAGGTTAGAAGTTTTCCACTTAAGAGATTCTGGTTCTGTTAAAATGCAATGCTGTGGCTCCCAGGGTCAGACAGTGTCCCCTGGGATCTGTTAGCCGGCTCGGCTAGCCTCAGGTCTGAGTCCGGTGAGACGCTGATCAGCTGTGTCCTCGGTGGCCCTCGGGCTCCTGGGGGGCGCGGTTCCCGCCCCCGTCCCTGCCGCACATCTGAAGGTGTCCTTTTCTCCCCGCAGGGACGCGCTCAGGATCCAGCAGCTGCAGCAGCAGATCCGCCGGGAGCGCGAGGCCCGCGCGCGCCCCTCGCCGCCCGCGTCCCCGGAGCCCCCGGAGTCGCGCGCGGAGCCCATGAGCGCGCTGGCTGCCCGCCCCGCGCCCGCCATGCAGGCCTCCAGCTCCTTCAGCTACGCGCGCCCCAAGCAGTTCATCGCCGCCCAGAGCCTGAGCCCCAGCGCGCCCCGGTCCCCGGCGCCCGCGTCCCCGCCGACCTCTGAGCCCGAGTGGGGCGCGCTCCCGCCGCCACCCCCGCCGCTCAGCCCTCCGGCGCTCGCCGCAGGGCCCGACTTCTTCCCGCCGCCGCCGCCTCCACCTCCGCCTGGCCCGGGTCCCTCGCCCCGCGCTGCCCGCCCAGGCCCCGCGCCTGCAGCGCTGCTCCGAGCCCTGCTGCCCTCGCAACCAGCCACCGCCAGCACCGTCTCCACCGGGGTCTCCGCCCTCGGCCTGCCGCGTGCTGCCCCCGCTGCGTGAGTGCCCACCACCCCTTTGCACCGGTCTGCACACGGTGGGGGTCCCCAGCTGGGGGCTGAGTGCGCGCCGAGGGGAGGTGGCAGTCCCTTCGTGCCCGGGATCGGGAAGTGAACTCGTCCACCACACCTTGTCCATCCAGGCAGTGCTTGGAGGGGACAGACGTGTCTGTGGCCAAATTTGATGCAGATACGTGAGGCCCTGTCCCAGGCCTGAATGATGCAGCCAGCCCTGGCCCCAGCCCCCCACCCCATCTCTGCAGGGTTCCATCATCTTCTGCCGGACTCTGAATGGCTTTCCTTAGGTCAATGTGCTGACGTGGCAGCCCTCTAAAATCTTCACTTAGAAACCCTGTGAGGATAAATAAGCTGGCAAAACAAACCCATGGGAGGCGTCTGGCATGTCTTGAAGTGTAGTAAGAGCTGGCACTCACCCATCCACTGAGGTCAGAAATGCCTGCTGGCCAGGGCAAGCCCAGGGCCACATCTCAACCCTCTCCCTGTCGACATCCTGCTTCAGGGCTGGCAGGACCCCAGTACTCTTCAGAGGGAAAAGGAGGAGACCCTTAGTAGGGTTTCGTGTGGGAATGAAAGTGAGGAGACCCTGGAATTAGAGTCACACTCACTCACAGCAGGCTCCCACCCTGGGGTGGGCTTGTGGCTCCTGCGAGACGAGACTGCTGTTTGCCCTCCAAGGGTGTCCAGAAGTGCCTGTTGGGCGCGTCCTGCGTTGTTGGGCATTTTCTAAAGGCTGCCTAAGGAATTCTGCGATTGAGATCTGGCTTCTTCTCATGTCCTTATGGGAAAAAGCTTAGTCAGGTGACTGTGTAAATAGTCACATAAGGAGGGGAGCGAGGGTGGTGGTGTAATCATGGGTTTCAGCCAGAGTCGAGTCCATCCTCTGGCCTGAGCAAACCTTTGTCTTTTTGCTACGTGATACCCTTTGTCCTCTTACTATGGAAGGGCTATGAAAACACTTGCTCTTTGGAAGAAAAGCTATGACATACCTAGACAGTGATTTTAAAAGCAGAGACATCACTTTACTGGCAGATGTCTGTCTAGTCAAAGCTATGGTTTTTCCAGTAGTCCGGTACGGATGTGAGAGCCAGACCATAGAGAAGACTGTGTGCCAAAGAGTTGATGCTTTTGAGCTGTGGTGCTGGAGAAGACTCTTGAGAGTCCCTTGGACTGTCCATCCTAAAGGAAATCAGTCCTCAATATTCATTGGAAGGACTGATGCTGAAGCTGAAGCTCCAATACTTGGGCCACCTGATGCGAAGCACTGATTCATTGGAAAAGACCCTGATATTGGGAAAGATTGAGGTCAGGAGAAGGGGACGACAGAGAATTAGATGGTTGGATAGCATCACCAACTCAGTGGACAATAGTTTGAGCAAGCTCCGGGAGATGGTGATGGACAGGGAAGCCTGGTGTGCTGCAGTCAGTGGGGTCTCAGAGTCAGACACGACTTAGCAAGTGAACAACAACAGCAACACTTGTCAGTTGGAATTTGATGAAAGATGAGTCCACCGCCGCCTTGGACAGCGGGGCAGTGTCACACCTTTTATCATCTTAGGCAGAAACAGTTCATTCTGGTCTCCGACTTTGAGATTCCCTTGTATTCAGCAGTTTTACAGGCTCATCTGAAGTAACAGAAGTGCTTACCTCTTAGCAGTCTCTGTCATGGTTACTCATACGGAGTCATGGTATTTTATAATTATTACCAGAGAGGAGACCAGCAGCTCCTGCCATTTCTTCAAAGCTAAGGGGGACATCACTCCGATTTTATGGCTGTGGGAAGCTGTACCCAGGGGAGTTGGGCCCTCTGACACCATGTTCAGTGGTGACCCCAGGCCTCCAACTCTATGCCAGCCCAGAAGCCACAGTTGTGTGGTCACCCTTTTGTCTGCAAAAAATTTCCTGTTGCAAAATCACACACACACTTAAAGAATTCCTTCTGTTGGTTTGATTCATACGACCTTTGGAGCATTTTTCCTCTGCAAACTTGTGGGATCACTGGTTTGCATTCAGAACTAAAGATGAAACAGTAACTTGTTAGCCATCATAGTAACTCAGATGGATCAGTTCAGACTTGCCCAAGACTGGGTGTCCCTCTCGGGCCGCCATGACCAGTCGGCGCCCTTGAGCTTGTAGGAGCCGCCCAGCCCTGGTCAGTCGGCCCTCTTCAGTCACTCGTTTCTTTCGTGGGGCACTTGTGATTGTAACAGCAGACTCAGGTTCACTCATTCGTCTGGTTGGACAGCTTTGCCATGTGTGTCAAGTGCACATACACAGACTGATTACAAGTGACTTGGTGAAGTAGGAATCCGTTAGTTTGGCTGGTTTTTATTATGCTTCCTTGCTTATCTGATACCAAAATCTTAAGTGCAAATTTCAGATATCTCTATTTTATTTATTTATTATTTTTTTTTTTTGGTGTTGCTTTTAACTTTTAATTTATATTGGAGTACAGCCAATTAACAATGTTGGGAGAATTTCAGGTGGACAGCAAAGGGCTTTAGCCACACTTATACATACATCCAGTCTCCCGCAAACGTTCCTCTCATCCAGGCTGCCATGTGACATTGAGCAGAGTCCCCTGTGCTATGCAGTAGGTCCTTGTTGGTTACCGTTTGACATGGCGGTGTGTACAGGTCCATCCCAGTCCTTGTTCTGTGACCTGTGCAGCTTTCTTGCTCAGCCATGAGAGGCAACGGTGAGTTCTCTTGACCAAGACACAGAGCAGGCCCTGGGGACGCAGGAGCTAACACGGTGTTCAAAGCCAGACAGACAGAGTGGTCACACCTGTACCCCCATGGAACCAGAGGGCATAGGCCATAGAATTCCTGGGGGGCAGTTTCTTTTTTTATCTTTTTTTTTTAATTGAAGGATAATTGTTTTACAGAATTTTGTTGTTTTCTGTCAAACCTCAGGATGAATCAGCCATAGGTACACATATATCCTCTCCGTTTTGACCCTCCCTCCCATCTCCCTCCCCACCCCACCCCTCTAGGTTGGTACAGACCCTCTGTTGGAGTTTCCTGAGCCGAACAGCAAATCAAATATCTCTATTTTCTTAATCATCAGTTGCACTAATGGCCATTCTGTTGTTTGTGTTTAGCATCGTCTTGTTCTCATCTGTAAAAGAGTAGCTTATAAACAGTCTGTGGAGATGCAGTTTTGCATCTGGTGTCTGCGCAATGGAGGGCCGGGCAGAGGGCGGAGGCAGCTACGGCCACGGTGACAGCGAGGCTGGGTGGCCTCCCCGCAGCCCGCAGCATTGATGTGGGTCAGGGTTTAGGGGATTCCTGTGGATCCAGTCCCTCCCCACTTTCCTTCCTGAGGCCATGGGGTCACCGCCCTTCCCAAAGCTGGTTACAGACACACGCGTCCAGGCAACGGCGTGTTCCCACTCCAAGCACTCGAGCACTGGGTCATGTCGCTGGTGCAGACGGGGCTGGATGCTCCTGTGGGCTCGGCCTGACCGTGTGCACAGGAGGTCAGCACCCCAGGCAGGTGGGGCTGTCACTGGCTCCCCGGCACTGTGAGGAGTGCTGGTCTGGGTAACAGTTTACTTTGAAGAAATGTCTTAATTTTTAATTGTATGAACTGTTGTGAAGGGAAAGCATCTCTGTCAGCAGACACGTTTTTGTTCCTGAGGAGTGGCTGTTTGCTCCTCGGAAGTCGGTGGGTGGCGTGTTGGGGGCAGATGCTGCGTCCTGCTTTCTGCCTGACCTTAGAGCCTCACCCTTACTCTGTGCTCAGGTTTTAACATAATTTCTTAGTGTTTGCCAAATCACGTTAGTAATTAGTCCAAATGAGATATTCTCAGAAAAAGGTTCCTGTTAAATGGAGAGGGTGCCTCACCCCGGCCCTCTCTTCCCGGTGCCCCATCGACCCCCTGGGCTGGCTCTGGCCGCCCCTTCCCGATGCGGTCCTCCCAGTCCAGCTCCACCTGGACCCTCCCCTCCTGTCGCCTGGCAGCACCACCTCCCCACCTCCACTGCAGGAGCTGATTTTAGCAAGAACAGTGGCTTGAGGCTGCAGCATAGTGCCCAGAACAGAGCACGGCCCCAGCCAGCGGGTCAGCAGGGGTGTCGGCAGGCTCCCGGAGCTCCGCACAGCATCCTAGGGTCCTCTTCCGTTCATCCCCCGTCCATCCCCTCCTGGCCTGCATCCATTCCTGCTTCCTCTTTATTCCTGTCCCACCTAGAATTCCTGCCACATGGTGTGTTCTGTGATCTATTCTCCAGCTTCAACATCAGTCCTTTCAATGAATAGTCAGGGTTGATGCCCAAAGTCACAGCCTGACGCGGCAGAAACCCAGGTCTGCACACAGACGGCGCCTCTTCTGCCTCGGCGTTCATCTCGCCCCCTGACACACCAGCGTGTGCCAGCGGTTCTGTCTGGGTCACTGGTCCACACCCAGCAGGGTGGGCGTGGCCCCGGGGTGGACTGCACGCCCGGGGCCCTGAGCGCTGGGCTGGGCGTGCCTGCCGGACCAAACCCTGACCCTGCCTCCACTGTGTGCTCACCCGCAGGGGGCTTCCCAAGAAGGCCAGCAGACCTGCTAGGATGGCCTCCGACGAGGAGATCCAGGGCTCCAAGGACGCCGTCATCCAGGACCTGGAGCGCAAGCTGCGCTTCAAGGAGGACCTGCTGAACAACGGACAGCCGGTAGGGGGCGGTAGTGGGGGCGGGGACTTGACGAGCTGGAGCCGGGTGTAGGGGGCGGGGCGGAGCGGGTGGTAGGGGGCGGGGCGGGGCAGTCACTGGAGCCGCCCTCACCAGCCTTAGAGCTGGAGCCTCACCTTCACACCTGGCCTTCGGCCAGCACAGAGCACCTTCCTGACAGCTGGTGTCGCCCCCCCGACCCCCGCCCCAGCCCCCACACGCCTCTCCGGGTTGAGGTTTGCTTGTGGAGGGGAGAGCATGGGGGGAGGCTTTGCTGCCTCCTTCCACGAACCATTCCCGGGGGCTGGGGGGAATACGGCAGCTTGGAGGTAGAGGGGGCAGGAAAGCTGAGGCCACGGTAGCACACTGAGGACCTTCGACACTACAGACAAAAGGGACAGGCTACAGCCACACCGCCCCATCACACCCGCGCTTGTCCTGCTTGGAAGCTAAGCAGGGTCGGGCCTGGCAAGCCCTTGGGTGGGAGGCAGAGAGAGGGAGCCAGTCCCGCTGGAGGGTAGGGCTGCGGGCTGTGCCCCACGGTCGGTCTCTGCCCAGAGGCGGTGGATCGGAGCTCAGTTCTGGGCTCTGTGCCCTGCCCTGCCCTGCAGAGACGCCCGCGCGCCTTAGGAGACCATGCCGATCTGGTCTAGACGGTCCAGGTGTGGTTCCGTTACCGCGCTTGTCCTGGTCTGTGGGGGCGGCTCAGCTCAGTCCTGGAGGGGAGTGGTCACTGTTCCGAGGCTTCCGGTTGTGGATGGACGAGGACACAGTCCACACCGGCGCCTCCTCCGCGGGCCCGGTGCTTCCTGGTCAGGTGTTGGCTTGCTTGTTTTCTGGGCTCACTGCTCCTCATCACGTCCGAGCTCCTGAAGGGCGTTGGCAAACGAGCCTAGGAAATGAGATTTCTTAGGCGGGGGCCAGTGACCTGTGTGCTTTATGGGGCATTGGCCTGGCTCTTCAGTAGACGCAGAGAGGGGCCTCTTGTGTAAAGTCTCCCTCAGCACCTTCTCCAGAGGACAAAGCCTGCGTGCTGACTCTGTTTTCTGGGAGCTGTGGTTATCCTGCCCTGATACATAAAGACATAAGAACAGACCACGTGGATTGGAAGGCTGGGGCCCAGAGGAGGGGCTTGGGTACTGATCTTAGGGGCTGAGGAAGACTGACATCCTAAAGAGACCTCACGTTACTCACCTCACTGAGATTTTCACACAGGGGAGATATCTTCTCCCTGAAATAAGTGGTTGCATGTGCAAATGAACACATTCTGGAAGTTTTCCCTGGCTCTGTCAACCAGAGCCTTTGAAAGATTAAAACAGAGACTTATGGGATCTTTCTCAAGCCAGGTAAAGGCTTTTTTCAAGGTTTTTCTGTTGGTTTGTTTAAATACTCCTTATGAACTAATAACTAAGATAAGATTTCTATAAGCTATTATTATTACACTACATGTATTTACATTTGTTGCGTATATATGTCATAGATCTCCTTTGCACAGAGGTATATATTATTTTTATTTCTTCAGCAGTGAATGACATTTCCAGTATTTGCCATACATTTCCACATTTGAGAATTTTAAAAGGACAAGTAAGGTTTCCATTCTTAGAAAATGTGACCATCAGACAGCTTCTTCCTGACGCTGCACGTGTCTCTATCCACGTTTCTGGCGTCTTGGTATATGGACTTTATGTTCACACGGCACAGAGAGTGGTTCAGAAGCACAGCAGTGAGTGAGTCTGGCTCCTGGTGGTGGCAGGTATGTCTGACGAGGGCCTGAATATCGAATGATGCTTCTGCTCCAGAGGAATGGGGTGGCACCAGGCCACCCTCCCCAAACATTAGGAAGGCTTTTTAGGAGAGCAGGTGTTTAAAACGGTATTTAAAACTGTGTCTGAAAACTGAATCCGTGATTCTTTAATGCATGTGGAGAAAATTAAACAGCCGCATGTGGATGAGCTGTTCCATGCCACAGATACACCTCTCCTCACCCTCGGCCCCTTTTCCCAAAACAAGGTCATTGGAACTTCAGGTCTGTTTGCCATTTGGCACGTGTCCTGCTTCTCTTCCCGGTTTTCACTGGGACTGAAACCAGCAATTACTGGAAAGCAGCGATTTACCCAGCATATTTTCCTGATTAGAGAGTTTCTAGGAGAGTCTGTGTCTGGATTCAGAGGTTTGGAAGTTCATCTGAAATAATTTACACATTTTTTTAAATTTTATTTTGTGCTATTAATTATTCTCTATTTTGAATCAAAAGCTTGTTTTTAAAATGCCCCAGTGAATGGGCCGATCGTTTTGGAGCCAGCTCTCAAGGGCACAGCCTATCAGACAAAGCAAGTGGGCCGTTTGGTTTGTGTTCAGCCCAAAGCCCTGGGCACTCAGCGCAGGGGCCTCCCCACCTTCGCTGGGAGCAGTCTCCTGATCGGCTCGAGGCCACTTCCGGCCCCTCTGCCGGGTCAGCGTGTGCAGCCAGCCTTCACGACTTCCTGTGTTGGCCTGCGTTCAGCCCCGTGCCTGGCCCCGGAGAAGAGCTCTCGAAGCAGCCCTGCCCGCCAGCCTCGGACTCCCCTCCCAGGCTTGGAGCTGTTCTGAAGCCTGTGACAGCTATGACCATACACGTCCTGTAGAAAACCTCTTGCTGGCTAAAGGTCTTTGTCTTCATATCCATCATTCGGCATAAACACGTGACACACACCTGTAGGTGACTCCTGCCCTGTGGTTCGCTGTGCTCACCTTCAGTCTGTGGTCCCCTGTTAGTTGCTGGCGCTCGGGATGGGCCACCCTGGCTCAGCTCAGGGTCAGGACTGGAGGCGCAGTGGGAGCAGGTGAACACGGAGCAGAGGGCTCCTGTCTGCACAGGCGTCCAGAGGTGGAGCGGAGCGGTCAGAGACCCACAGGCCCGTTTGCTCTTTGCATTCGTGTTCTCAAGGCGCTGCAGCAGTGTGATTTTTCTGACTCGTGTGGCTTCTTTGCTTAGAGGTTGACCTACGAAGAAAGGATGGCTCGGAGGCTCCTGGGTGCCGACAGCGCAACTGTCTTCAACGTCCAGGAGCCAGAGGAGGAGGCAGCCAACCAGGTATGCGATCCTCCTGGCTTCCCGGGAGAGCAGTGTTCTCTGCCCACCTCCCCCAGCATCCCTAGGGGCCTGCCCTGGGCCAGCTCTGTGCAGAGCCGAGGGTGGGTCACAGGTGGCCTCTGGCCAGCGGCGAGTGAGCGCGCCCCGTGTTGGGGGTGATGGAGTTATTTCAGTCAGTGACACCTGTCCTTTTTGCCTTATCCATTCGTTTCTCTTCTTTCAAGTATCTTTCTGGTTTCCCTGTCCTGTGCTGTAATGCAAAACAGGTTTCTGTGGAGGAACATGCGCTCACTGAGACTGTGTTAAGTCACTTGTGACTAATTTCAGTTACGTTCTTCATATCTCATCCAGGTGAATTATCTATGTACAGAAAAGAATGTTTTTCTCCACAAATGTAGTTGAAAGTCAGTAATGAGCAGGGAATCTGCTTTATTCCCCTGCTAACACCAGAATCACTTCATGGATTTGCTGTGAGCTGTTTGTAATCTCCACTGCTTCTATTTGGGGTCTCCATATGTACTGAATAGTTTTAAGATGAAAGAAAGCTTTTGAACACAAGTTTAAAGGATCAAGTAAACTCTTTACCCTGTCTATTGAGAAATGGATCAGCCTTCAAAATCTGAAAGTTTTTCTGTGTTAAATATTGCTCCCACCAGAGTTTCCCTTAAAGCTGGAAATCGGGTTGGATTCTTGCCGCTTCTCTTCCTGGTCTTCACTACTCCTTCTCTGCTGTTTCAGGACCCCTGGCCATCTCGTGCTTCTGTAGAGAGTCCTCTGGACGGTCAGAAGGTCGCCTTTACCTCTCTTCTCCTCCCAGTCCTTCTGTGTCCGTCCCTCTGTTCCGCCTCGTGTACCTGTGTGTCTGCATTTCCTGCCCTACGATCGTTACCCACACACTCACCATGTCTGTTTTCATTGTATCAGAGGGACAGAGTAACTGCACTGTGATTCGTCATGTCGTTTATTTACAGACTTGAATTTTATTCTATCCTTTATGAATACTCTGAATTTTAAATTGTGAGAAGTTTCTCATTTGTTAAAAGTTTTCTAGGAGAAAGAAGAGCTAATTCTTAAACTGATTAATTTGATAATAATTAGACAAAGCAACTTGTGTATTTCCTGCAGTTTTATTCATGCTGCTGAATTTCTTCCCTCAAGCCAACAGGCTTTTTTGGGTTTGGGGGCATGCCATGTGGCGTGTGACATCTTAGCTCGAACCCTGCCCCCTCCACTGATAGTGCCAGGTCTTAACCACTGGGCACCAGGGAAACCCCACGCCAGACTGTTTTTAAAGATTGAGTAACTTTAAGAGAAAACCTCGTTTGAAACAACCTTTCATTTACTATTAAATAGAGAATGTTTCATAATGGGCTGCCTTTTCTTTTCTATACTTCATGAGCAGGAGGTCTCTTGGTACCCCTTCATTACTAGAGGATGCTGGCGGGCACTTGATGCCTATTTTTTAACCACGTATTTGACTGGATTCTCCGTCCTCTTTTTCTTTTAAAGAGGGTGGAGAATGGTTGCCCAGAGCTGGGGAGCTGGGTGGTGAGGATCGTCAGGAGAAGGGAGTGAGGTACCATTACTCTGTCGCCCACTGGAGGAAAGGCCAAGTGAGCCGCAGCTGCCCACCTGGGAGGCGCCCGCCCTCAGACAGGGAAGGGTCAGCGTGGCGTCAGTGCTTAACTTTTATGAGCAGTTGAGGAGGAACCGTTGCCTTTTTCTTCTCCCCATTCTAAGAGAGACGAGGAAGAAATTCATTCTCCTAGTTGTGTGGCTGTGGTGTTTTTTGGTTGATAGGACTTGAGGCTGGTTTGAAACACCACGCATCCTTCCAGGTGTCTTTGTTTCATGTGGGAGTGACTGGGGTGCAGACTTGTTTAGTTCTGTAGTAAACACATCGCTGCCCTCTGGGAACCTGCCTGGAGAGGGGCTGAGTCCGGTGGGGCACTGTGTGCCATGAGGGGCCCAGCCGGTGACACGGCCCCTCCGTCTGACTCAGGAGTACAAGGTCTCCAGCTGTGAGCAGAGGCTCATCAGTGAAATCGAGTACCGGCTGGAGCGGTCCCCCGTGGAGGAGTCAGGGGATGAGGCACCCTGCGGGGACACGTCTGTGGAGAGCGGAGTGGCCCCCTTCTTTGAGGTGAAGCTGAAGCATTACAAGATCTTTGAGGGTATGCCTGCGACATTCACGTGCAGAGTGACCGGCGACCCAAAGCCCAAGGTGAGTGGAGACACAGCCTCTTCAGAGCTGCATGCCCTGAGGATGGGTCTGGCTTCCAGCCTGCAGGGTGGTGGTAGGAGGACAAATGCCAGAATTGAAACTGTGAAAATGTCAGTCGTTCAGTCTGCTCTTTGTGAACCCATGGACTGTAGCCCGCCAGGCTCCTCTGCCCATGGGACTCTCCAGGCAAGAATACTGGAGTGGGTTGCCATGCCCTCCTCCAGGGGATCTTCCTGACCCAGGGATTGAGCCCACACCTCCGGCATTGCAGGTGGATTCTTTACCATCTGAGCCACCAGGGCAGCCCCTAGACTCGGACAGGGTTGAGCAGAATAGGGTGGGATAGAATGGGACCTACGAGGACAGGACGGATAGACTAGGAGAGTGACTGGCAGGGAGCGCCTCACACCCTCCCCTCTCTCGCTCACATGGAGCCACGGTTGTGACACCCACGCTGCAGGTGTCGGGCTCAGCTCCAGCAGGTCGGTGAGCTTTCTCGAGGCCAAGGGGCTGTGGCGGCCAGGCCTGAACTTGATCCCGGCCCATGCTCTGTACTGTACGGAGCAGTGAAGCTGCCACTAGTGGCGGGAATCATATCTTTAATCCACAAAGCCAAGGCTGCCTGTGTATACAGAGCTGGAGGGGGCAAGAGTCCAATGGCTGTGGCTGGCCCGGCCAGAGCCTGTCCTGTAGGCACACGGGGACACTGGGTGGCGGGTGGCCGTCTCTTTAGACAGAGAGTAGGATCACTGCTCATGGCCCCATGGAACAGCACACAGGACTGCACTTTTCTGCAGGACTGGAGGGAAGACAGTAAGAGAGGCTCAGTAAAAAATGGAAGCTCCACCTGACACTCTCCCAGGATATTCTGCCCTTCACAGGCTTGTCCCCTTGAAACCTGAGCAGACTGAAGCGGAGTTCTAGTTCACACTATTTTCATCTGTTGTACCTTCCCCACACTCTCAGAGCAGTCTTGGTAGAATGTTGGGAGTGTCTCTTAATTTGGGCTTCCCTGGTGGCTCAGATGGTAAAGAATCCACCTGCAATGTGGGAGACCTGGGTTCAGTCCCTGGGTCGGGAAGATCCCCTGGAGGAGGGCATGGCAACCCACTCCAGTACCTTTGCCTGGAGAATCCTCATGGACAGAGGAGCCTGGCAGACTGCACTCCATGGAGTTGAGAATACTCAGACATGACTGAGCAGCTCAGCACAATACATCTCTTAATTCTCATTTGAAAGTTGTCTTCTAAGTATAATACAGGTGAAAAATAGGACTAAAGGGAAAAAAGAATTCTAAAGAACTGGCATAGCAGCAAGAATGTGAAAGGTAGACATTGTATACTGATCTGAGCTTCTTTATTCCATCAGAAATAATCCAACTGGTAAGAGCATGATAATTATGAAGTGTCAGCCTTTATGTAACTTAGCTTTTGGAACTGAAAGTTACTAGTCTGTTTCGATGGTGAACTTTTAGGTTCTGGAGACTGGTAATATTGGTAATATAGTTTCCGTAAAACTAGGGAGGGAAAGACTGCAGCTCTCAGACCCTCGTTGTTGGCGCACTTTGTGTTGTCTTTCTGGCCTTTTCCTGCCTTAGACTTGGAAGGTTTAAGAGCAGTTTTTCAGATTCAGAGGCTTTGACAGGGAGTAACAGTGAAAGGCCAGCTGTGGTCTCAACTTGCCAAGTGATGTACATGCAGGAGGAAGTTCATTTTATGGCAGGCTCTGAAGTAGGTTTCCTCTGCTGGGAGTCAGCTAGGAGTGCCCTGGGCTGCAGGGAACAGAGGTGACCGCATCCTGCTTAAAAAGCGAGAATGTCGTTTCCTCTGGCCGACACTGCATACTGGCTGTGTTGGCGCTGAGGCTCTGTGACCATCACTGTGGCCTCTCTTGGCTCAGATATAACCAGCAAAACGTGAGAAACCGATGGCCCTGGGATCTTGCTTAAAGGAGAAAGAGGGGAGGAAGGACCTGTAGAAGAGATGGTTTGACCATTTAGAACTTTTCTGTCTAATCAAGATGTACTTTTATTATATTTTTCACAATTTTCTATCACTCCAAGTTATTTGAAAATTAGTTTAAATGCTGCTGTGTTTAACATAGTGGGGAGAGCTGGTGAACTGTAACCTTCAACCCTGTGCCCCCCAGCTGCGCCCGCCACCCCTCCCTCTCACCCGGTTCTGGGTGTCTGACACAGACGAATTCACTGGACTTTAGAGTCTGGTTTTTTTAATCTTGAGATACTTCCTTTTACTTCCCTTTACAAGTAATACATGTCCACTTAGGACATATGAAAACAGAAGCAAAAAGAAAACTGTGATGCCAGCTGAGAGTTAATCACGTCTTCCATGTAAATAATGGGTGAATGTAAATGCTGCTTATGTACATCTTTTATCTTATATTTATTGTTTATTTTATTAATAACTTAATATATTATTAATATATCTTATTTAATGTTACTTTATTATTTAAAATATACTTTAAATACTTCCTACTTTATTATTTGGCGGCAGCACGTCTGAGTTGCAGCATGCAGGATCTGTGATCTTGGCTGGGGCAAGTGGAATCTAGTTCCCTGACTGAGGGTTGAACCTGGGCCTCCGGCAGTAGGAGCAAGGCATCTTAGCCGCTGGGCCACCAGGGAAGTGCCTGTACATCTTCTAGAAAGAAAGAACGTGTAATTTCTGATAGACTAGAACTAGCCTTGTTCGCTGCCTCCCCTTGTCCCTCGGAAGTCAAGGTCCTGCCCAGGTGTCCAGTCTCTCATTCTGTCGCAGGAGCTCAGAGCAGCCCCCCCACCACACACACAGGCCTCACCTCCTCTCTGCCTCCTCCCGCAGATTTACTGGTTTAAGGATGGAAAGCAGATCTCCCCCAAGAACGATCACTACAGCATCCGCAGCGACCCCAGCGGGACCTGCTCCCTGCACACCGCAGCCTCCACGCTGGAGGACGACGGCAATTACACGGTCATGGCTGCCAACCCTCAGGTGAGAAGCGCAGCCCGGCTCTGCTCTGGACCGGTGGGATCCCCAGACGAAGAGGCAGCTCGCCTGGTGGGGCGCTGGACCCCCACATTCTCTGTCCAGCTTGGTTTCCCAGGAGAGAGATTTTTCTTTCCTGTTTGTTTATTCCATTAGACATTTGTGTGCATGATGCACAGATGTGCACCATTTATTTCCACAAACATTGTCGAGAGACTGCTATGCATACCTCTCATGGGGGGTGGGGCTGCCGTTCTTGGGAGGATGAGGTCCCGACACAGAAGATGAGCCAGTAAATAGACGCACAAACCATGTGATTTCATGTAGAATAACATTCCCAGGAGAAAGGGGAGTGAAGGGTATGTGTAAGATGTGGTAGGAAGACTCAAAAATTAAATATTTAGAAGAAATATACACACAGTTAATTCAGTGGAATTTAAGTAACCTATAAGTGTGGACAAATTATAATTTTGATAGAATATAAATAGAGCACTCAGGATTTTGTTTTGTTTTCTCTTGTATTGGCCTTTAGATTTAGGGTCAAAAAATTAATTGACTACTTAGAATTTAGTAGGCAGCTACTGGCTACCAGGTTCCGATTCAAGCCTGCAAATTCTTTTTTATAGACTATCTTGTATATTTTAGGAACTGTACTGAATCCACAGACATGTGTAAGAAGTGGTTTTGTGCTTGAAACACTTAACAGGGTACTTTACAAAGTCTACAAAAACCACATAATCAGTCGTGTCCGACTCTTTGTGACCCCATGGACTATACCAAGTCCATGGAATTCTCCAGGCCAGAATACTGGAGTAGGTAGCCTTTCCCTTCTCCAGGGGATCTTCCCAACCCAAGAATCGAGCCAGGGTCTACCTGCATTACAGGCAGATTCTTTACCAACTGAGCTATCAGGGAAGCCTGTAAATAACACTTTTAAAAAAGAAAGCTAACAGTTTTATTATGTAACTGATGGAGATTGCTCACCAGTCATCCTTTTTAAAAAACCTCTGATCTATTTGTATCATTCTATATTTCATTATTTATTTTGAAAGAAACATTGTTAGAAAATGATACAGGTAATTTTAGCAATTTTTGCATACTTCTACAAGTGCATACAGTGTTGCAAACAGTGTTATCCTGTCCTAAGGTTACATTGTCATGGAAAGATACATTACTGCAGTAATGTTAAAATTAGACTGAGCTGAAGTCTCACAGATTTCACCACAACCAGCGTGTGAGCTGGGACAGTGGACTCCTCACTGACCAGGAACAGTTTCCAAGTTCATGCACCTTCTTGAGGCTCTGATATTTCAATCAGTGAACACATGACCTTTACGAAACAATTATGTTTGAATGCTTGTTTGTGTTCACAGTGCATTTGAGGGAATGAAAGTGGAACTTTTTTTTAATTGTATTTTTAGTATGCTTCCTTGACTATTTCCCATCTTCTGTTTTCTTCTTCTTAAAAAGAGTAGTGGAGAACTCAACAAAACCCAGAGTTTTCCTTCATGTTGGGTTCTTGATTCCTCTCATGCCCTGAGAAGTCTGGGGTAGGTGATGGAGCTAGAGTTCACTGTGTCCCTTCCACAGTCACCACTCCCGGGTTCTGCTGTTCTTGTCCAGGCGTTTTGCCTGCTGCACGTTTTGAACTATTGCTGGAGTGAGCACCTTTAAAGAACAGAATAACGCATATGTCGAACCGCAGTCTGGAGTCTGCGCGTGGCCTTCTTCAGGTGGTGTCGCTCCTTGAGGGGGAGTCCCAGCCAGTGTGGCTGAATCAGGACTGCACAGCTGGGGGCTAGGGTGAGGGCTTAGCTAAAGATCCACAGCCTGGCTGGCAGGAGCCACACCAGGGCCAGGAGGAGGCCCCACCCTCAACCTGGGGCCCGCTTCCTTAGCAGAGAGCCGGCCACGCCCTGTAGATCGCCTCGTCTGATTCTTCATGCTTTACCTCTTGGAGTCAAAGAGATGGGGAGTGACCATTTACATCAGGGCAGCAGAAGCCCACTTTTCCTTTTTAGTCTGTTTATTTGGCTGTTCTGGGTCATCAAGCTTTAGTTGCAGCATGCAGAGTCTTACCTGTGGTATGTGGGATCTGGTTCCCTGACCAGGGATGGAACCCAGACCCCTGCATTGGGAGCCCCTGGCCATAGTGAAGTCCCGAGCCCGGCTTTTCTGACAGTGTCTCCATCCCGCCTGTGGAATGAACAGACAGCAGCGGGACCACTCCGGGCCCCAGAGGCTCCCCTGCCAAAGCAGGTCTTCATGCCAGAAGCCTGCTGTCTCTTGAGGTCTGATCCACCAGGATTCTCATTAACAGGGTGTGTTCTTATCACTAAACTTCTCCTTTCCTACCTGAATGACCAAGAGGCAGGTGTCGGAGGGGAGACTCCTAAGCAGAGTCTAGGGAGATCCTGAGAGTGGATGTGGGCCTCAGGCTGACGTTGCTGTGCACTTGGGGTTTGTGGTGCTTGACAGCCGCTGTTGTGAGCTTCTGAACATGTCTCCTGGTGGGTGTTAGTTCAGGGGTGAAATGCCTTCTTGTCCCGGGTCTTCAGTGGCAGGTCCATGCACACATGCCACATGTGGGTTTTGTAAGTCATCCAAGATTGTGCGTCCAACTTTGTGAAAAATTGGAATGAACTTCCTACCCACTTAGGAAAACAAAGTGGTATTTCAGCCGTGACCCGCGAGAGCCCATTTCTCTGCCTGATCCTTGGTGCAGGTTGTCCCTTGTTGCCATGGGAACATGATGATAGAAACACCTCACACTCCATGTTGCTGTGTAGTTGCTCAGTCCTATCTGACTCTTTGTGGCCCCATGGACTGCAGCACACCAGGCTTCCCTGTCCAGGGAATTCTCCAGGCAAGAATACTGCCAGTTCCTTCTCCAGGGGATCTTCCCAATTCAGGGATCAAACCCCTGCCTCTCACACCTCCTGCACTGCGGGCGGGTTCTTTACCTCTAAGCCACCAGGGAAGCCCAGCACTCGATAAACTCAGCTTTATAAACAGTTGCTATAGTATAGTAAATGGCTTTGCCATTCTTGTAATTTGTGAATTAAAAAATGGTTTAAAAGGAACATGATGTAAATAGGTACTGGAAAAAAATCTCAAAAGTAAAAGCTAAGTTTTCCAGGATACATAAAGCATGCACACATACATATGCTTCCAGTCCCAGAAGCATAGCATGGGGTTGCCTGACGTGGGCTCCCTGCTTCCTTGACGCCCTTTGGCGCCATGATTTTCTTCCACATTCTAGAAGGATTCGTGTTTGGAAGGGGGACAGCACCATCTCCCTTTTCTGACACCGTGGCTTCCACAGTGGAGCAGGAGTGGCGGGCTCTCCAGGCGGGGGAGATAAGTCCTGAGGGTAGCCGTGAGGTTGAGAAGCCGGGAGGGAGGCGAGCACGGCCAGCAGTTTATTTCAGAGAAGACTTTCCCACCTGCTCGGTCTTCAGGGACAAGAGGCGTGTGAGAGGCTGCTGACAGGTCTCCGTGGGGATGAGCTCAGAGCGCCGGGCGTGCTCGCCTGGCTGCCCCCAGGAGACAGCAGCCGCAGGTTAGCGAGGTCAGGAGGGGCCCGCGCCGCGTCCCCCTGTGCCAGACCGGCCCGCAGGCCCCGCCTCTGCCGGCTCTCACGCCTCCTGACAGCGCGGTGGAATGCGGACGCAGATGTTTGGCTTTGTTTTGCTGCGTTGCTAGGAGCCTGGTCCTGCCCTGGGCTGGAATGGCCTTCGTGGTTTGTGCCTTCTCCAGCTGTGCTGTGTGTCCAAGCGGGCGGCTGTCCTGGGCCCTGGGCCCTGTTAGACTCTGTGAGCCGGGACAGGCAGATGGTGTTTCCACAGCAGGTGAAGCACCAGCCTTGCCAGGCGTCACGTGCGCCTCACGAGCTGAGCATCTCGCGCAGAACCACCTTCAGAGTTCACACTCGGGGCTCGTGTCAGCCTCCCACCGAGGACTTGGTCTGAACAGAAGAGCTGCGAGCAGCAGAGTTACAGTCAAAAGTCTGGCTTGTTGGTGGTCTGTGTTTCAGCTTCACAGGGTTTCCTGGCTCCTTCCGAGCTTCACTTCACACATTCACTTCTGTTACTCCTTCATGTGTTAATAAGACAGTTAAAAGTGAACAGATAGCATTGAGGGGCCCCACAGCCTGTGATGAAGCTGCAAAGCAGAAAGTATGGAACGCCTGTCCTGAGAACAAGGGGCGCTATCTGTGAAATGCACAGCTCCTTGTTCTCAAGCTCCAGAAAGAACCACGGGGCTTCCATGACCACCTGTCAGACCGGCCGCGGAGAGTCGTCAGCTGTGCGATTTGTAACAGGCTCTTCTAGGCACGTGCGCCTGCACTAGTCCATGTGGGACGGGTCCGTGAGAGTGATTCTCAGACGTCAGGCCGCGTTGGGGAGGCCCCGGGGTGTGCCAGGGTCAGCATGGGAGAGCCTCTGTCGCGTGGCCGGGACCTGTGAGGCAGCTGGTGCAGGGCGGGGGTCGCTCCCTCCTGAAGTTAGCTGCACGGTACTTGGGGATGTGGTGGCCTCAGTGAAGCAGGGGCCTGCCTCGCGGTTCAGGGCCACGCAAGCTGTGTGTTCCCGGCAGCCATCCTCCTGGGGCTGCCTCACCCTCCTGTCTGCACTGTTGGTGTGAGTCTGTGCCTTTCCTGGGGCCTGAGGACGTCCAGGCTGAGACGTGCAGGCCCCTCCCTGCATCCTGCTGTGGTGCCCCGCTCCGTGTCCCCACCAGTGTCCTCTGCCCCCTCAGCCCACTCCCAGGGGAGCTCAGAAGGCGGTTGAGAACCCACGCGACCCTCAGCTCTGGCCTCCCGTATGTCGGCCACTTGGGGTGACCGTGGGGGTCAGTGGTCGACTGTGACGTGAGCGCACACGGGGCTGCCCTTCAGCCGGGAGCGCGAACTCACCAAGGACTGGAGTGAATGACCAGTGCGCTTCTCAGGTTCCTGCCCTGGCTCCTCCCTTTCGGTCACTGTCAGAGTTCAGAAGTCTGTCTGCTTGTGCTCCTGGGCCTCGAGAACGAGTGGAGGAGGAAATCTGCTTTGCTGTTCTGCCAGCCATGAGGAGAAAGAGGCGCCTGTGCCAGAAAGCTGAAGCCCCTGGGTCCCTTATTCCTGTAGTCCGGGCCCCTCAGCACCGCTCCACGCCCCTAAGACGACACTTGTCAGGCTTGCTGTTGACAGAGAGAGACGGTAGTGCACGCAGCATGCTTTGTCACCGCTTTATAAGGGGTGTAAGCAACAAAAATGTTGACTCATGTTCTACACCTGAAACTATGTTAAGTCCACTATACTTCAGATGAGCTTGGGTGTGTTGGGCAAGATGATTGTAGACCCGTCAACTATACTTCAAATTAAAATTTTTTAAAGATAAAATGGTTTTTCGTTAGCGTATCTAACTAACCTTTATCATCTGATCCTCACGTTCCAGGCTTTGACTGCTTCTGGTTCATAAATCTCAAATGTGCTCATTTCATGGGAAGAATATTGATGGGTAGGGAGACCTTGGCAGGTGACAGTCAGTTCGTAGGGGGTCGTCATCTTAAACGGCCTCCTAAATGAAACAGTAAAACTGAGTCAAGCGTCGGAGGGGGTAAGCGTCTTACCCAAGTGCTTCAGATGAATGTGGAGTCACATGCCGAGCCCCGGGGGCGGGCGGGGGCTGGCGCTGGCCGCGGGAGAGGGCCCCGGGCATCCCTCACCGCTGTGGTCCTGTCCCCGCAGGGCCGCGTCAGCTGCACGGGACGGCTGATGGTCCAGGCTGTGAACCAGAGAGGCCGCAGCCCCCGCCCGCCGGCCGGACATCCTCATGGCAGAAGGTACGTCCCGCGCCCTTCCTGGTCGTTGCTGGGGTCTCGCTGGCTCCTAAACCCGGCACTGTCAGCGTGGTGGGGAGCCCGCAGAAAGGGCGTGCTCAGGGGACAGTGGGCACATGAGGGGAAGCGGGCTCCCTGTGGCTGGGGTGGAGACACCAGCCAGGAGGCGTGCCCAGGCCCGGCCTGTCCCTCACCGCGGCCCTCCAGGCGGGCCCCTGGTTTCCTGTGACCACCTCGTGCCTGAAGGTTTGTGCTCTTGTCACTCAGCGCACAAGTTTACCCGAGACCCAGACCTCAAGGTCAGACTGGCCACATTTTGGACACTTTCCATACCTGCAGCCCCCGGGGCCTGCGAGCATAGGCGGGCGCGTGGTGCCCAGTGATGGGCGTGACTTCAAAGGAGCTGGTGGGCTGCTGGCCTGGGGACCCTGCCAGGGGATTCCAGGCGGGCTGGGGTCCTGGAGGGCCACAGAGGCAGGGAAGCCACAGGAGGAGCAGAAACAGCAAGCAGCTCTGCACCCCGCGGCCCCTGCCTGTGTCTGGGAGGCAGCCCCAGGCCTCGGGCTCGCAGCCGTGATGCTGGCCTCCAGGGCACGGCCCGTGCACAGCGTCACCTGTGCCAGCTGCGAGCACAGCCCGGCTGAGCAAGTCCATCTTCTGCTGCTTTTCTGGGGCCTTTAGTGCATTTCAGCTGTTCATGGGTCACTGCTTCCTGGAGGAGCGTCGTGCTCATAAACTAGATCTGATGGGTGAACTCTATGTTGAAGGGTGGATAATTCTAGCCCATTATACTAATTTTTCTTTTGTTTCGCTTTTTCTAGTTAAGTATTTTTTAACTTACTTTCTGATGATCACTGGCAGAATTAATTTGAACATCTTGCCCTTGGATTATTACATCTTCCCTGCAATCACTTTAAATCATTTTACTCTTAAAGGTGCCTCTAGAAACATACTCAAAAGCAAGAAAGAGGCACAAAATCTGGGAGATTTACACAGTTTTATTTTAAAGCAAAAAAAAGTTGTCTTTAGGTACATGGATAACGGATGCAGAAGACCTGCCTAAAATGTAGTTGTTTTCCTGGTTAATATGAAAATAAATTTTTATTAGAAATTATTAATTTTTTAAAAAATAATAAGAACTTCTGATTTCCTACAAACTTACACTCACAGTGGAAAGTCATAGTTATTGATACTGAAAAATATTTGGTAGTAAATGAGCTGCTAATTCTCATACAGTTCTCATCCAATTTTAAAAATATTTTAAAACTTTCTTTAACCTGCTTTTTTCCCCTTTCCCAATTCATGATTTATACTAGTCATTAGGATTAGGATAGCAGATTAAGATCTGCAATTAGCAGACTATTAAATTTATATTAAACTCCCAAATGAAACAAGATTTTGCCTCCTGACTTTTTCTTTGGTGTAAAGGTTGAGATTAGGGAATCAGGTAAGCAGGTAAGGAAATTATGTTTTTGCCCCTGTGTTAAAGCAGATGACTGGGACCCTAGAAATGACCTGCTCTCTAGGTCTGTTTATCTGTACCATCTGCCTGCCGCACCCCCATGCCCCGTATGTTGACTCTCTCTGGTCTGAAGGCCTCGCTCGCGGTCCAGGGACAGTGCTGACGAAGGGGAGCCCATCCAGGAGCGCTTCTTCCGCCCGCACTTCCTGCAGGCTCCCGGGGACCTGACCGTGCAGGAAGGCAAGCTGTGCAGGATGGACTGCAAGGTGAGCGCATGCGCCCAGCCTCCCCCCAGTGCTGTGGCTCTCTTCTCTGGGTTTGCCCCATTGGTTGACCTTGAATTTAAATTTCAGCTCAAAGTATCAATGTTTTATAAAATTATTTGGCCTCCCTCTGCTGGTTATCTCTGGAATTACGGAACATAAATGTGAGGCACTTAAGAGAGTTTACTCTGGACTTAACAGAAATGTTTGAAAAGGATAAATTCATTCTTAACAGGAGTGTATTTTCCAGAGTAGTTATTTTTATTATTTTCGTTTTGTGTTGGAGTGTAACTGTTTTACAGTGTTGTGTTGGTTCCAGGTGTAGAGCAGAGTGATGCAGTGACACACAGGCATCTTTTCGAGTTTATTCCCATTTAGGTTGTTACAGAGTATTGAGTTAGTTCCCTGTGCGATACAGCAGGCCCTTGTTGGTTATCTGTTTTAAATATACTGCCGTTTATATGTCCATTCGAATCTCCCAGTTCGTCCCCTCCTTGCTGTGTGGGTGCTAAGTCACTTCACTTGTGTTTGAATCTTTGTGACACCCATGCACTAGCCCACCAGGCTCCTCTGTCCATGAGATTCTCCAGGCAAGAATACTGGAGCAGGTTGCCATCTCCTTCTGCAGGGGATCTTTCTGACCCAGGGATCGAACCTGAGTTTTCTTATGTCTCCTGCATGGCAGGCAGGTTCTTTACCATGAGGGCTACCTGGAAAGCCCTACCTTTCTCCCCTGGTAACCATAAATTCATTGTCTAAGTCAGTAAGTCTGTTTCTGTTTTATAAATAAGTTCATCTGTATAAATAAGTTCATCTGTATCATTTTTTTCAAGATTCCATATATATATGTGATATCATATTTGTCTTTCTGACTTGCTTAAAATGACAGTCTCTAGATCTACCCAGGCTATGGCAAATGACATTTATTTCATTCTTTTTATGACTGAGTAATACTCTACTGTATATATGTAGCACATCTTCTTTATCCATTCCTCTGTCAGTGGACATTAAGGATGCTTTTTTGTCCGGGCTATTTATAGTGCTGGTGTCAAATTGGAGTGCATTAGTGGAAGTCCTTTTTGGGGTTTGTAAATTAGAGTGAAATGTGCTACAAGAAGCCACCAAAAACTTATGTCTCATTACTTCTTTAATTTTTTTAGCTTGAACATACATATGTATGTATGTATGTATGTATTTGGAGTAAAGTGGATTTACAATGTCATATTTGTTGTAGGTATACAGAATCTTACTCAGTTATAAATGTAGATGTTCATCTTTGAGTTTTTTTCCATATATAGGTTTTTAGACAGTGTTAATACACATCCCTTGCTATAAAGTAGGTCTGTGTTGACTATGTGTTTACATGTATGAATTAAAGCCACCCTCCTGATTTACCCCTTCCAGCCCACCTTTCCCCTTTGGTGACCATAAGTTTGTTTTTCTAAGTCTGTACATCTCTTCTACTTTTGTAAGTTAGTTAGTTGGTATCCATTTCCACATTCCACCTGTAAGTGACACCACACGGTGTTTGTTTTTCTCTTTCTGACTTACTTCTCTTTACTGTGACTGTCTCTCGGTCCAAAGGTTACAGCAAATGGCATTATTTCATTCTTTTTCATGGCTGAATCATTTGCTCATGCAAATGTGTCACTTCTGTTATTTTATTTTTAAAACTGGAGGATAATGGCTCTACAGCGTTGTGTTTCTGCCCTGCGACAGCGTGAATCGGCTGTAACCACATGTTGATCCCTCCCTCTTGAGCATCCCTCCCCTCACCCCCCATCCCCCCCAGGTCATCACGGCGCCGGGCTGAGGTCCATGTGCCCTGCAGCAGCTGCCCACTGGCTCTCCGTTGTACACGTGGCCGTGTGTATCTGTTAGCCCTACTCTCAATTCGTCTGTCCCGCTCTCTCCTTCCTCTCCCCATGTCCACAAGTCCTTTCTCTGCATCCTGTATCTCTATTCCTGCCCTGCAAATAGTTTTATAGTACTCTTTTTCTAGATTCCATATTTATGTGATTTATATATATGTGCATTAATATACAGTATTTGTTTTTCTCTGACTTCACTCTCTATAACAGACTGTATATAAACTGTATAGTTTCATCCACATCTCTACAAATGACCCAGTTTTACTCCTTGTTATGGCTGAGGGCCACATTACTCATCACCCGTTCATCTCCATCCCTTCGTCGGTCATTGGACGGCGGGGTCTCCTCCATGTTCTGGCTGTTGTAAATACTACCTCAGCGCTTTGAGTTCTGGTTTGTTTTTTTCATTCTTTTTCCGCATAGACTCAGGAGTGGGCTGCTGGATCACGTGGTGGCTCTACTGAACATTTTAAAGACACTGTTACCATGACATCCCACCAGCACAGCACTTCGGAGGGTCCCCTTTTCTTACCCCACCCTTGTGTTTATCATCTGCAGTCTTTTTGACAGTGGCCATTTTGGCTGATGTGAGGTAACACCGTGTATTTTTTATTTGCCTTTCTCTAATAGTTTGATTTTAATTTCTCTAATATATTTAGTGATGTTGAGCATCTTGTCATGTACCTCTTGACCTCCTGTGCGTCTTTGGGGAAATGTCTGTTTAGATCTTCTATCCATTTTCTGATACTGAGCCTCATGAGCCGTTTGTAAATTTTGGAGATGAATCCCTTGTCAGCCGCATCATTTGCCACATAGTTCTTTCCACAGTGTAAGTATGCATATGTCAGTGTGTATATTTATATGCATTGTATTTATCGTGGGTCTGTAAGAATTCGCACAGACCACCTGTAAAATGACATTTTAGTTACAGAACCAAAATGAATATAAACATAAATATACATATACAGAGTCAAAAGGTAAAATTTTATTTTAATCAAGTGATACCAAAGGATTAATATTAATTTTAGTTTTATGTGTAAAAGTGAAAGTTGCTCAGTCATGTCAGACTCTTCGCAACCCCATTGACAACTATACAGTCCATGGAATTCTCCAGGCCAGAATACTGCAGTGGGTAGCCTCTTCCTTCTCCAGGGGATCTTCCCGACCCAGGAATCGACCCGGGGTCTCCTGCATTGCAGGAGCTGTCAGGGAAGCCCTAGGGAACTGTGAATGTGTAAGAAAAATCTGCTTCTTTTAAAGAGTGATCTTTACTGCCCAGAGTCTCCATTCCCTGACCAAGAACTGAACCTGGGCCCCATGCAGTGAAGCACAGACTCTCTGCACTGGGCCCCCTGAGGACCCCACCTCACGCTCCTCTATGTTGCTCTGTAGGAGGTGTCTAGAAGTGAGCATGTCTGTGCCAAGAAGAGAACTGGGACCCACACTAAGAGACCGTGTCCTGTGGGTGGAGCGACCCATTTTGGCATCGGAGGAACTCACATGCATTTCCCTCCTGCCTCAGGTCAGTGGGCTGCCCACGCCCGACCTCACCTGGCTGCTGGACGGCAAGCCAGTGCGCCAGGACAGCACCCACAGGATGCTGGTGCGGGAGAACGGCGTGCACTCCCTCGTCATCGAGCCGGTCTCGGCCCGGGACGCCGGCATCTACACGTGCGTGGCCACCAACCGGGCGGGGCAGAACTCCTTCGTCCTGGAGCTCGTGGTCGCAGGTAGGCCCGGGAACGCACGCTTAGGGCGAGAGGATGCTCAGCAGCGACCCCAGCGTGAGCTGCACACTCAGCAGACAGAATAGTGGGCCTCAGAGTAGCCAGTCAGAGCCTGGAATGAGACCTGCCAAGGCGGGACGTGACTGCATCTCATTTCCCCATCAGCAGGTGGGCCGGAGCAGGGGCTCTGAGCAGCTCTGCTGGGTGTTTCTCATCCTGGGCCCCAAGGGTTTCTCGGGGCAGAGAGCACCACCCAGCGTCCATGAGCCAGCAGTGTGGGAGGTGGAGCTTGTACACATGTTCTGCATGTACACCACTTGTTAAGCCACCCACAGTGATTTCATCATTTAACATTTGAAATAATTTTCATTAATGCAAACATAGGAAAGATAGGATATACTAATAAGGATTATAAAGTTAACTTAGCAGTGGGGCTTCCCTGGTAGCTCAACTGGTAAAGAATCTGCCTGCAATGTAGGAGACCCTGGTTCAATTCCTGGGTCGGGAAGATCCCCTGGAGAAGGGATAGATTACCCACTCCAGTATTTTTGGGCTTCCCTGGTGCCTCAGCTGGTAAAGAATCGCCTGCAATGCAGGAGACCTGGATGATAAACTTTTTTACTTGAGCTAAGGAAAACGAGTGTGTGAAGATGTTTAGAGAATCCACAGGAGTGGAGAGTGTGCGTTATGTCCGTCCCTCACCCCGCTGCATGCAGAGCCCTCCAGAAGGCGTGTAAGAGCCTGTGCTGTGTCTGTCTCTCCTCTGTTTGCAGAGCGCTGTGCCTGACCTCACCTGGTCCTCAGCACATCAGCTGGTTTCTTCCTTGTTTCCCAGAGGTGGGATCTGTGGAGACCACACCCTCCCCTGGTTGTGTAGTTGGGTCCATCCCATCTCTGGTCTTCCTCCAGGCCCGAGAGCCCCGCGCTCTTTGTAGAGGCAGTGCGCAGTGCGGACACTGGGTGTCTCCTCTTGAGGATCCTGCTGACAGCAGCTGGACACGTGCACACAGGCATGCAGTCAGCTTGTGGTCTGTGTCCAGTTTCACTCCCTCCTCCAGCCCCTGCTGCTCACTGTTTGTAGTTTCGTCTGTTGACCATGCCTGTCCTCGGGCCTGAGATGTCCCGTTGGCACTTATGGGAGAAGTCAGGGCTCAGTCCTCATCTCCTGGCTATCTCCTCTGGCCGGCCCATCACTGCTGATCACTCTCCCTGCTGTAAATGGGCCGTGATGCTCACAGTTTAAGGACTAAATCATTTCCCAAGGATGAACTCCCATGAAGCATTGCATCCCCGTGCCCTGCCCAGCACAGCCTCTGAATGCAGCTGTCTGCTGTTGTGACGTGAAGGTCCATCCATCATTATCCTCTTACGAAAGCAAAGGCCCAGAAAGAAAGCTAAGTGAGGTTTGCTCCCACCACCTGCGTCCCCCAGAGTAGCTCAGGTGAAAAAGTCCAGTAAAAATTAGCTCCCTACATAATTTAAGGTCAGACAGGGTCCTCGTTATTTACAGGCCTGGGGTAGAGCCTTTGCCTTGATGTGTCTGTCCCTGAGGAGGGCGGGGAGAAGGCCGGATGCTCTCCCTCTTGCTGGCAGCTGCGCGATGATCACGAGGCCACACCCGTCCGCGCTGGTCTCCGCCGCAGACCCTAGGCGACACAGAGGGCAGAGTGCGGGTGATACTGACAAAGCCTTCTGACTCCCTGCCGCCGAGAATGCCGGCAGGACCCGTGGTGCAGTCCTCTTTGCTAGTCGTCAGGCGCCCACTGAAAGCCTGTCCCCCGCCCACCTGTGCAGTGCCGTCTCCCTGCAGCAGGGCCTAGAAGTCCTCAGCACCTCCCAGCCAGCAGGGCAGGCAGCTCGCGGATCTGACTCCAGCAGGCGGGCCTCAGTGTCACCGGGGGCAGTGGCAGACTAAGGAAGCGCAGCACCCTTGTTAGTCGACTGCCAGCCTGCGGGAGGCCCCGAGACCAGCAGGCAGGTGCTGTGGGGTGGGCGCAGCCTCCGCCCCACAGAGGAACAGGGGGTGCGGGGTGAGCACGGGCTCCCTCCTGGTGAAGGACCCTTGGTGGAGGACGGGCCTCTCGCCCCGCGTCGCTGAGGGCAGCTGCGGGCTCCGTGGCGCTGCCCGCGTCTCCCGGGCAGGACACCGCTCTCCTGTCTTCCAGCTAAGGAAGCGCACAAGCCTCCGGTCTTTCTGGAGAAGCTGCAGAACACGGGCGTGGCGGACGGCTACCCCGTGCGCTTGGAGTGCCGGGTCTCGGGGGCACCCCCACCACAGATATTCTGGAAGAAGGAGAACGAGTCTCTGACCCACAGCACGGACCGCGTGAGGTGAGTGCCGGGCCCTGTCCGCCGCAGGGTCTGCGGGTCCTGGGGCAGCAGCGCTCACCCCTGTGGGGCGCCAGCCACCCCGGGGTGCAGGGGCAGTGCGGGCCTCCCAGCCCCACCGGCGGCGCTTTGTGAGGGCTCACCTGTGCCTCAGACACGGGAGGGTAACCCGCCTGCCGGGGTGGGGGCGGGGGGGTGGGCAGGGCCTGCAGGCTCCATGCTCACCCGCTGGAGAGGCCGCAGCCCTGCAGAGGAGCCCGGCAGCCCTCACAGCAGGCCCTCTCCTGCAGCATGCACCAGGACCACCACGGCTACGTGTGCCTGCTCATCCAGGGCGCCACGAAGGACGACGCGGGCTGGTACACAGTGTCGGCCAAGAACGAGGCCGGGATCGTGTCCTGCACGGCCCGACTCGACGTGTACAGTAAGTGCCTCCCCGTGCTGGGCGCCCGAGGCCTCCGGGCCCGCACCGCAGACTGATCTGTCCCACGCGGCCCTGGAGCGTCCCGCGGCTGAGACTTCATCGTGCTCTTTCTCTTTCTGTTTGTAGTTTCCCGACAGTAATAGTGACCCTCGCCAGGAGAACAGTGCCCAAGTATCGCTCAGAAGCCGTGTGTCACAGTGCCGCATGTGCCTCTGCTTCTGTGGCGTGGGCTCCCCAGCTGTGCCTTCTCCCCCGCGCCTCTAGGAGTTAACACTAGGCGCAGGCATAGTCACGGACGTGTCCATCCCATTACCGCATGGTGCACGGGACCGCCTCTAACATTCCTCCTGTGTCCTGACCCATCAGGGTCTCGCTCTGAGCGGGGCCCACTGATGCTGGCGGGAGTGTTTCCCAGGGCTGAGCGCTTCGTGTGTGTGCGTGTGTGTGTGTGTGTGTGTGTGTGTCTGAAGTAGTTTGGCAGTAGGCTTGTGTGTTTGTGTGTGTCTCCTTGTGTACATGCATCCCTGATTTTAAAAAATCAGCCCTTTTGAGTTGACAGACTAGGTCAGTATCCCTCTATCACAATAGCACTCTGACAAGTAAGCCCTGAGGAAAAATTCAGAACTGATTTCTGAATTAAGAAATACCTCCCTGAAATGCTTCAGTAACTGACCTCAGCCAGGCCCCCCTCCCCAGCGCATCCAGAATTCCTGACAACTGCCGCTACTGTGGCATGCCTACCTGTGAGCTTTGAAGATTTTTCTTAAAAGGGAGCTAGGAAGCTCAGTGGCCATTACTGAGGATTCCCCAAGCTGCAGCTCGTAGTGACGGTGCGGTGAACTGCACTTTCTGTGTTACCACTGCAGTCTTCACAGCCCATGTAGACAGCGCTCCATGACAAGGGTGTGGCCTCTCAGGCCTCCTCGGGGGCGTGGGGGTATGCTGTGAGCATGCGCCTGGCCCCGCCACAGCCCCTCACCTGCGCGTGGTCGGGTGTCTTGCAGCCCAGTGGCAGCAGCCGCCGCCGAGCGCCAAGCCGAAGCGGGTGCGGCCGTCGGCCAGCCGCTACGCCGCGCTCTCCGACCAGGGCCTGGACATCCGAGCAGCGTTCCAGCCCGAGGCCGGCCCGTCCTCGCTGGCACTGAGCCCCGGCCTGGTGGAGAGCGAGGACCTGTGACCGGCGCCCTCGCGGGAGCACAGACCCACACCACGCTGCCCAGACCCGCCTCCTGCCGCGGGACGCAAGTGCACCTCGACTCCGAGAGACAAAAGGGCACCTCAACTCTGCTTTTCTTCCCGTAAACCAAACCAGAGGCTGCGCACACAATGCCAGTAGATGCACACCTTGCACAGAATTCACACTCACCAGCCAATTCAGACTCCAGAAATTGCTGTGATTCAAGGGGTCTGAAATGCCAAAGCCCTCACGGAAAAGTGACCCCGCTCCGTGTTGTCCCAAGTGCCTTCAACACTGGTGCAGCGCTGCCACCCCGCGTGAGCAGGGGGCTTCCCGGAGGCAGCCCCACAGCAGGAGGGCATGGCTGGGCAGTGTGTTCCCGCCACCGGTGACCCCGTGCGGGCAGCAGGAGGGCACGGCCAAGAAATCCACGCAAGTGCCTTGTCTGTGCAAACCATTTTCTACTAAGTCGTACGAAGGAACCGCTTGCCTGCAGTTCTGGCAACATCCTGAGTTTCTCTCAAGGTTAAAACCTTCGTTGTTAGCTTTTTCTTTATGCGTATTTTCCTTTTGCGTTGCCTTGGTAGGGAGCTTACATACTGAAACGCGTAACGTACTCTGAGGAAAGCAGAAACAGACCACAGACCATTCCACGGAGGGCGTCAACCACCCAAGTGACCACGGCAGGCGGGGTGTGTCGGGGGTGAGGGTCCAGGGAGGAGCGGAGGGGAGGGGGGAGAGATACACGGTGCATGGTGACGGTGTCCACGCAGGTGGCAGGGGGCGGGAGCCAGTGGAGGCCAGGCTTCCCTTGGTTCTCTTCAAATTCCATCTACGACGCTGCGTTCCTGAGTCAAGAAGCTGGGGTTCCAGCGGTGGGGGCCCTGGGGACACTGCAGGGTCAGAGCTGGAGGTGGGATGCACAGAGCAAGTTGGTAATGGGCTGAGCAGCGAGGTCGTCATGGGTCGGAGGCAGCCTGTGGGCACTGGTCTGCTGGGGGTATGGGACTGAGCCAGAGGAGGTGGGCACCAGGGTGCGTGTCCTCCACGGCGCCCGCACGGCGGGTGGGAGCCTAATTTCTCCTCCCTGCGGCCATGAGGCCGCTGACTGAAGAAGGTGCTGGGCTCCCAGTCATCCCAAGGCCATCTCCGGTGCCCCTGACTCTGGCCAGCTGGACGGAGTGAATTCTGACCAGGCTTGACGGTTTTAAGTTGGAATCAGTCAACTTTAAACATGAGAAAATGGGGCCTGCTATGATATGATAATGGTACTTTGCTATGAAGAGAACACACTGTATTCCTTATGCAAAACACATTTATCTCTCATTATTTATGATAAAGATGGCAAACTCTCTTAGCTCAGTTACTCGATATGTAGTGTTTTTTAATGATTTTGTACCTGTGTGCCACCCCGTGTAGCCCACTTCACTGCTTCACATGCACAGCTCTCCACGTCCTTCTCGACACACCAAGCAAGCTCTGCGTACCCAGTGTGAGCGCTGGTGCCTGCAGACTGGCACGCGAGGCTCTCCTGGACCTCTCTGTCTTGCAGAATTATGACTGATGTCTTCTCGTACTTGCCAAATTTTCCCGAATGTGACATTTTGCTAATTTGCTGGGTTTGGGATTAAGCAGCGTTATTTTGCCACCTTTCATATATTTATAAAAACAATAAGTACTATCTTACTACTTTGGATTGTTGTGCTGGTGTAATGTGGATTTAACAACAATAAATATTTAACAAATAAGAGCTGCAGTTTTGTGAAGCACATGGTCGGTGGTTTGGTTTCTCTCACAGCCTTCATGAACCGTGCAGACTAAACCCTCTGGTAACTGCACTGCACTCTCCTGGGTGCAGGAAACGAGGACAGGATCCGACTCCACACGGCCACTGGACGGGGCTCATGGGGCCTGTCAGCAAGGGCCGCTCCACCCGCACCCCTTGGCATGGCGCCCCCACGCCCAGCACGAGACCCTCGGCGCACATCCTCACACACGATAACTCTTGTCGGGAAGAACCCATACTTTAAGGGACCACCAGATGCGGGATCTGCAAAGTCCCGTCCACACAGCCTGGATGTGGTCTGGGGGAGAAGGAAGGTGGGCACTGGGGAGGGGCCTTGGGAACCCTCTCAAAACCGCGCCCGCTTCAGCACTTTACCTGATACGTGCATGCCACCAGTTTCTGTGACCCCACAGGGGGCACCTTCGCACCACTTAACCGTCACCTCTCAGGAACTGCGTGCACGGCGCTGAGGCTCGGGACGTCAATACGAGATGCTGAACACTCCTCCCCGCAGACACACCAGAGCTCCTGCTGCATGCACTAAAGTTTCCTCTAAAGTGACCTCAGGTGAATGAGCAAACACCACGTCAGGGCCTCATGGCAAATCCCACTGCCTGGCACAGTGACCCACATCAGGAGGGAGCCAACCCCGAGCTTCTCCCTGGGGAGTGACCCCAACTCTTCAGCTCTGAGTCCAGCACCAGACACTCAGCTTTGAAAGCAAATGAGAGTTTCTGTCACAAGAGTTACGAGTACAAACAGAAATCCTTCCTAAAAGGCTGCACACTCGTCCATGGCACGGGAAGCGGCAGAGCCAGCCAGTGGAGAAGCGCACAGACCCCGAGGGATGGTCGGCCTGAAGCTGTGCCATTTGTGGAGACCTGGCTGGACCTAGAGACGGTCACCTAATGAGTGAAGAAAGTCAGAAACACAAACACCATACTAACGCACACATGGGAAATCTAAAAAATGACATAGGTAACCTTACTTCCAACCCAAAATAGAAACAGGTGGTGAACACGTGTGTGGGTACCAAGGGGGAATGGAGCGGGGTGGGAGGAATTTAGAGACTGGCATTGACATATACACAACTATTGCTGCTCTGTTAAAAATACATGAATATAGGCGTTTGTGTATGTGTATAAATCTAGATTTCCCAGAGGACGCATACACAGGACCACAAGGCACATGCTCAGCAGCGTTCATCACGCCAGAAGGGCAGAGCCGACGTCCAGTGAGCTGTGCCCTCGCACGGGCAGGCCCGCAAGGCCCTCTGACACGGAGGGCACACACCCACTATTCCAGGCGGGGTGGGAACCGGTGCAGCCACAATGAGAACAGCATGGAGGTTCTTTACGAAACTAGACACGGGTGCAGGGCCCAGGAACTCCACTCCTGTGCCGACACCCAGAGAGTCATCATCTGAAATGACATTTTCACCCCATTTTCTCAGCACCGCTATTGAAAACAAGACGTAAAATCCACCAGACTATCCACCCAGAGAAAAAGACTTCATGGTACAACTGCTCACTGGGACACCACTCAGCTGTAAAACAGACACATCATGAAGAGACTGAGATAGTATCATATTTGCTGAAGTCAGGCAGACAAAGACTACCATCATAAAAGCAGTGGAACATACAGTTTATGAATTCAGACAAATGAGCGAATTTACAAACAGAAGAAACTAACAGACATGGAAAACCAAACTATGATTTTAAAAAAAGATAAACCTATGCAAAGTAACATATATCCAACAGATAATCACAAAAGACCTACCAAATTGCAAAGAAGTCTACTAAACCTGCTGTAATACATATGTGGGAATTAGAACTCCCAAAACAATAATGTATGTGTCTGTATACCAAAATCAAGTTCCTGTACACCTAGGAGAAACAACACTGGAGGCCGAATCTACTCCAATATAAAAGACAAATGAAATTATGGGGGGAAAAAAAGTGTGGCGTGCAGAAATGCCGTTGCCTTGTGGCAGTTTGGGGGAACTACAACTTTTAAAAAAGATGCTGTTAGGCAAATCAAATTCACAAGATCTGCAGGATCCTAAGTCAAACCCTCCTGCCTCAACTCTATAGAACATGGAAACCCTATTCAAAAGTCTCTAACAACCCATACCAGAAGACAACCAGATAAAGACACACAGGCTTTGGGTTCTTCCAGCACACTGCACTCTCACTGAAAACCCAGGAAGGGACTTCTCCCTGAAGGAAGTCTGTATCCATCGCATGAATGGATACAGAAGATGGAGGACATACACACAGAGCAGTATGACTCAGCCGTGAACAGGGAAAACATTGTGCAACTTCAGGCCACAGGGAGGAGAGCGGACGTGACTGTACAAAGTGAAGGAAGGACACAGGGACCAAAAGCTGGCGTATCCATTCGACTTGGAATCGAGACGTGGAATGGAAGGACCCATTTCCAAAAGACAAACAGCCTCACGGGCTGCAAAGGGGAGCATAGGGTTACCAACGGGAAAGTGCAGGGTGGAGACAAATTTTCTGGTTCCCAGGAACATAGAAACACGACTCATAAATGTCCAACATGGGCCCACCCTGGAGCACAAGGAAACGTGACTAACACACTATTATAACAGCCACCTTGGAAGACAGCCAGAAAAGAACTCGGGTACTTCTGTGGGTAAGGGAAGGAGGGTGCTGGACACCCAGTTAGGAAACAAAATACGCGCAAAGAAACCCAAAAGAGAGCCCACAGCACTGCCGGTCACCTAGACGCACGTCCAGAATGAAGATGGAAACAAAACGCCCACTGTACTCCCCTCAGGCCTCGGGGACTTGGCGGGCTGTCCATCACCCTTGCTGGCGGAGCAGGCCTGGGTCCCAGGGAGCTGGAGAGGACTTGCCAGCCGGTCAGCCCCACGCCCGGGGACCCTGCAGGAGTCCACCATCTCCAGACCAGGCGGGACTCCTGCCTCAAAACCCAAGCCAACAGGGAGCCTCCGGGCGGGAGGAGCACTGAGGCCTCCCCTGGCTTCGTGGCTCCTCGGGAAGCAGGGGCGCGTTCCCGCTTCCACCCTCCTTCCATAGCGTTCACCCCGCTCCTGTGGATGACCGCACCCCTCAGCAGAGGGATGCTGCAGGCGTTGGGATGTGCCCAAGGGGGATGGCTCCAGGGAAGATGCAGCGATACACAAGCTTTGGGTGTTTCTTCTGCGCATAGCACTCCCATGGACAACCTAGGAAGTCTTTCCCTGAGGCTGTGCTCGCTGGAGGAACCGCAGTGGCGCAGGGAGAAATGCTGTCCCCTTGTGGCGACTTTTCGTTACAACCACTTGAAAGCCGGTGCTCGTGGGCTCTTTGTATTCACAAGGCTTCTGGGGCTGTAAGGGACTCCTGCCCTCAAGGAATGTCCTGGGATAAATCATCAGAGAAGAACTCAAAACAGGGCCGACTTACAAGAAGTCAGCTTCAACAGGTAAATGGGACTCTCACTGTGTGACTTACAAAAGCACATAGGAAGATAGTCCACATCACTCATTGGTAAATCAAGGCAAATCGCCGCTGTGGGGTGCCAACTCCTCCCAACCATCAGAACAGCCACCATCCGAGAGATGTACACAGAATAAGTGCTGCTTGGGACGTCCAGAAAAGGGAATCCTCCTTCACTCTTGCTGGGGATGGAAATAGGGGCAGCCACAAGCAGACATTACGGGGTTTCTTTAAGAAACGAAACATGTGATCCACTCATCTCACCGCTGTGATGCTGAGACCCAGTGAAAATCATAACTCGAAATGACAGGCACATCCCTATTTTCATGGCACCACTATTTACCACAGTCAAGACACAGAATCCACCAAGATGTCCATCTGGAGAAAAAGGAAGACGAAATGGTACAACTCAGAAGTGGAACACTACTCAGCTATAAAACAGGGACACGGTGTGACTGACGGCAGCAAGGGTGGGCTGAGAGACGACCAGACTAAGTGAAGTCAGGCAGAGAAGAAAGGACAGCGTCGAGCACCACGCACATAGCGAACCTGTGCATTCACACAGAGGAACTGACTGACAAAACACAGACAGACCCACGACTCAGCTATAAAACAGGGACACAGTGTGACTGACGGCAGCAAGGGTGGGCCGAGAGACGGCCAGACTAAGTGAAGCCAGGCAGAGAAGAAAGGACAGCATCGAGTACCACGCACATAGCGAACCTGTGCATTCACACAGAGGAACTGACTGACAAAACACAGACAGACCGACATACACAGTATACAACTTTTGATTTTTTTAAATGGGAGGGGCCAGGGATAAAATGAGATTTTGAAATAAACATATACACACTGACTTATATCAAACAGATAATTAAAAAGAACTTACTTAATAGCACAGGGAACTCTACTAAACCTACTGTCACAACATTTGTAGGAATTAGACCCCCCCCCCCAAACAGTAGTTACAAGTTATGTATAACTCAGTCAGGTCCTATACACCTCAAAGAAACACAGCAATGGAGATCAACTCTACTCCAATATAAAATGCAAATGAAATTACAATTTTTTAAAAAGTGGGGCATGAAGTAATGTTCTCACCTTGTGGCCGTTAAGTTTGTTTAGTCGCTAAGTTGTGTCTGACCCTTTTGTGATGCCATGGACTGCAGCTCCTCTGTCCATGGGATTTCCCAGGCAAGAATGCTGGAGTGGGTTGCCATTTCCTCCTCCAGGGGATCTTCTCGACCCAGGGACTGAACCCGTCTCCTACCTTGGCAGGTGAATCTTACCACTGGGCCACTCGGGAAGCCCTGTAGAGAGACGCAGCCCACGTTATGCCTTGAATAACAGGAGGGTACCGTGAATGCCCTGCATATTCACTGGGAGCGCTGATGCTGAAGCTCCAATACTTTGCCCACCTGACGTGAAGAGCCGACTCATTGGAAAAGACCCTGATGCTGGGAAAGATTGAGGGCAGCAGAAGGGGGCGGCAGAGGATGAGAT